AAGCAGGGCCCTGCACCCAGGCCCTTTGCAATGAGCCGCAGGTTCCACGGCCTGGCTGCAGAGATCTCTCGTCTCCGTCCGTCCCGACCGTCCCACCCCGCAGTGCTCCTACAGAAGGGCAGAAAGAAGGCATGGAGTTTCCAGGAGTATCCAGATAAATCCACTTTATTCTGGATCAATATGGAATTTTCATGAAGCAAAAGCATTAAGTGGAGGGCTCTTCACCCATTTCTTTTTTTACTAAAATTCTGTGAAAGATACTATTTTGGAGTGTAAAAACTTTCATGTTGAAAACATGAATGTGCTGAGAGAATTTGAAGTCTGGGCCAATGACAATGCAGTGTTGAAAATCCAAGTCTAAAACTTTTCAAATTAAATGACCCAGGATGAAGTAGGAAACACAAGTCCTTCCCTTGAACCTTGATTTGCCTCTTCTAGCTCATTCCTGAAAGTGGTAGGCAAAGAGGATCCCACAGAAATCAGAGGAGCATCAGGGTCTATCCCTAAAAGGCAACTGTAGATGGGAAACAACTTGGGAATTAGAGGGACATCAATGAGCCACTTGTGAGTCCAGCTGTTAGTGAAGAGCCCTTTTCCAAAGAAATGCCAGCTTCTCTCAAGGAAGCTGAGCAGCAGGACATTATGGCTGATGTAGCTGGCAGGTACAAAGCAGAGAAAGCGGGAAATTTCTGGAAATGAACCCTGTCTTCACTGATCACAGCAGGATGAAGAACCCATTTTATCAGACTCTGGCTCTTAGTAAGAAAGGAAGAAAGCTCTATTTTCTATATCAGGCCCAGCTGTTCATGGTCAGAGGTGGTATCAGCTGCTCAGCAGAAGGCACAGCTTTAACTCCAGCTCATCGTGCCTGGAGGCAGCCCTGGAAGTGCTCCTGCACTTCAGCTGGTGCCAGGGCACAGGGACACCGGCACACCCTCCCTAGACCCCTGTATGCCATAAAACTAAAGGCATCTCCCCAGCCAACCCTCCAATCCAGCACTTAGCACAGAGCATGTCACTGCCAGTGACATCTGCATGAAAAAATACAGAGAAAAGTGCAATTACAAAATATATTGGGGGCTCAATATAATACAGGAAAACTTCAGATTTTGGTACTTACCTTCATAAATGAGCATACCTACTAGCTCTTTTCCCTAAATTAATTCATGGTTAAACGTCTGCACTTTCCATAGCAGTGTCCTAAAATTCTTCCATTCATGCATTCCCAGCTAGCAGAGCTCTCACACACCCTGTTTTTTCTCTGAAGTGTAAGGAAGGATTTAGTTCAGATGAACTGTGCTGCTTCCTCTGAAAGATATAAAATGATGGAAATAATATCTGCAAAGCCATAGGTTCTTTAAGGCAGGCCTCTGGTATGTAAAATAGGGAGTGTTTACATTTAGCATCATGTGCACATAAGATAACGATCAAACCATTTTCTTACCTTCATGAAAAATAGTTTTTGTGCTCCCAGATATGGCACAGCCAAATAAGGCCGAGCTCAGACACAAATGCGTTCCTCACCACACAAATGGCCAAACAAATGACAGCTGCCGGTGACACTTTTCCTGCGGTCCCGAGTGCCCCAAGCGCGGATCCAAGCGGCGTCTCACCTGCTCAGCTCTTCCCAGCCCGCGGATCCGAGCCCGTCCCGGAGCGTCAGGAGCAGGGATGGGAGCTCAGCAGCTCGGGCTCGATGCCGTGTGCTCCGCTCGGGGCTCCGAGAGCTCCTGCGGGGCCGGAGCAGCCCCGGGCAGCGGGAGCAGCTCCTGCTGCGGCAGCCGGGCAGCCTCTCCCCAGACACACAGGTGACTGCACACCCGTGCATTCAGGGCCAGCTCCATTCTGCTGCCCTGGGGCTGGCGCTCTCCACTGTGTTGCTGTTAGTGCACATTGGTGTGTTGGTCCTGGAAACACCCAGGAACAGGCAACTCTCAGGCACACATTCTGCTCCCCGGGATGTGCTGCACAGTCCCTGCCTGTTCCAAACACCAATTTGGTTTTCTTCTGAGAGCTGTGTTTTCCATCTCAGGGTTTGACCAGCTGATTGCCCCCGTTGATTATTTTCATTCAGCATTTGTGGATTTCACACATTTGCAGTTGTGCTGACTGCTCCTTCCAGCTGCGCAAGGACAGCCAGTGTGGACCTTTTCCTATGTAAAATGCATTGTGTGAGGACTGTTGGGCTGGAGGGCCCTTCTGTAATGTAATTGCCCCAATTCCTTCTGCTGAGAAAGATAATTGGATTCAGGCAGTTAATCCATTTTGTAGATGCTGCAAAATCTAATCTGTAACAAACACACGATCAAGTATATGGGAATTGGTGTCAGTTCCTTTCTTCCTTCCCAAAGTAGGAAAGCCATTTTTTCTAAAATCCTCTAGCAAATGGCTGTTCCATACTGGAACTTCTCAGCATTAAAAAATTGCATTGACATCTCTCTAAAATATTTCTCTGGATTTTCTTTCTCTCTTTTAAACTCTCATTGCAATCTAGATGGAAACCAATGTTCAAATGGCAGAATTTCTCTGCCAGTCCAAATACAGCAATTTGCCTAAACGTAATTAAACTGAAGTTTGGTGCAAACCTACACAGGCCTATGTAGAGAAGAAAAAGATGAAGACTGATTATTCCTATGCAGTATAGAGAAAAAACTAACCTATGGTTAAATCATGTAATGTGATATATCATATTTATTTATTTATTAAATAATGAAATCAGTTTATTACTTTTATATATCATGTAGTGCTAAATCCCGGTTTATTGTTTTCCTATTAAAATGTCATTGGTGGATGACATAAAGCAATGAGTCAAATTAAGAAAAAAAAATTGAATATTTTTCTGACAAGATTTTTTTAAGATTCAGAGGTAAATAACAATCATCTGATACAAGAAGTTGGTGAAACTGCATTTTGCCCGTTAGTCAGAATCTTTGATTAGCTCTATCCAGTGATTTCTAGATCTGGCTGAAATGAAGTAGCTTTTTACAGACAGTATATGGAAACTTTGAGGGAGAGATAAAAAAAGGCATTGACAGATCCTGATATCTGATTTATTGGGATATTTAGCCATGTGCATAAGCACATGAACTGCATGGAGTCAATGTGCATGTGACATGTCACTGCATGTCACTGCATGTCACTGCATGTGACAGGATTCATTTGCCTAAAGGATCTGGCTTAACTTGGAATGCACAATTTGGAAAGAAGATTGCGTGGACATAGACTGTGACCATGGTCACAAGGGTTTTCAGGATGAAGAAGAGACGAGAATGTTGACTCCATGATCAGAAGGCTTGATTTATTATTTTATGATATATGTTACATTAGGACTATACTAAAAAGCAATAGAAAGGAAAAGGTTTCTTCAGAAGCTAGCTAAGCTAAGAATAGAAAAGAATGAATAACAAAGATCTGTGTCTCAGACAGAGCGAGAGCCAGCTCTGCAATGAGTGGTCAGGAAATCCAAACATCCACAGGAGACCAATCACAGGACTGCCTGTTGCATTTCACAGCAGCAGATAATCATTGTTTACTTTTGGTTGCTGAAACTGCATCTTCTCACAAGGAAAAATCCTAAGAAAGGATTTTTCATGAAAGATGTCTGCGACACAGGAGCACCTGGAAGCTACTGCCAAGGACAAAAGTCTCACTCTTGCTGGTTTTGACACGGAGTTTTTGGTAGGATCTTGATCTACATCTACAGTCATCTACAGGAACTGGATCTTTGACAAAAAGTGCCTTCAAGCAACATTTCTAAACATAGTGGGCAAGGAAGTCCAGATACTAATGAGTTGTGGTTGGTTTTAACTCTGTGGAACATCTGGTACAATATCCCACAAGGTGTTATTTTTGACTCTTTCAGGCGTTTAAAACTCAGGCTTATTCTTGTCAACACTTTTCTTCCCTCCCTTCAGAAATCTGCATGCCCAGGTACTCAATTCTTTCTCAGTTTGTTGACAAGCTACCTGTCAGACAATACTTGTCTCTTGACCCAGAGATGGGCAACTGTCACCATTAGGCCGGACGTGGCATACACACGTGATCAGGGTCCAAGAAGAAAAAAGTTTTCTTTATTCTGCGTGTTCTCCAGCTTATACACTCTTAACAAAGCGTGATCTTAAGTCACTGACTACACCACAAGAACTTCTTATATCCATTGGTGCAAAGCAATTAACGTCAATAGAATTGGCAAAAATTTTACAGAAATTTATAAGGCAAGTATACACATCTACTTAGGCACTAGTCTAGCTTACGAAAATTTCATCTCTCTTTTCTAATCGGTTTCCATGCTGACAGCCTTGTCTTCTTCCTTGCTATGGATACACTGAAAACCCATCAATTGGGATGTCTTCTATGAACTCAGCTTTGCTTGCAGGCCACCTGTCAAGCCCCCCATAGGTCAGCACGCACCCGCGTGCTCAAGAAGTGACTGCAGCCTAAAATACTCCTGGAAATTTATTATCTTTGCTTCTTTTCCCCCCTAAAAGACATTGAAGAAGTGAGACTTTTCAGAACCAGCTAGCATGCCACCTAGAAGAAGCAGACTTTTGCTTTCAGTCAAAGCTTTTGGGACCAAAAGGCGCGTTTGCTTGGATTCCTTGGATGCCGCTTGGGTTGGCCCATTTTCTGAGTTCCCCTGGGATGCCTTGAGCACTGCCTTATGGACTGGGAGGACATTTTCTGCTGCTTTATGAGTGAGGAGAACTTCCCAGGCTTTTCTTTTGCATCAGCTGTACAGAAGGTTGCCTTGCTGGGCACAAGGAAGCCATAGAACAGCTGCTATTGTGAGGTCAGGGGAGCGGTGCCACGTCACAGTGCTGTCAGCACAGCGTTGCCCCGGTGCACGCAAGGCCTGCTTGTCCAGAGCAGCTCTTCTGCTGGCTCCCTGCAGGAGGATCCTTGTGCTCAAGGAGTTCTCAGCAGACGGCCTGCACCCCGAGAGGAGTCTGGGCTTTGCCTTGGCTGGCATCCAGTGTGCAAACCCGCACAGCGCTGCCAAAATGATCGGGCAGGTCTGTGCCGCAGTTTGCACGGTCTTTTCTGTTGTCTATTCTGGCTACTACCTGACCCAGCTGACTCGTAAGTAAAGGTTTCTCCTGGGGCTGGCATCACCTGGCTTTTGCTTGACTCTGCTCTTTATGCCGCAGCAGTGACTGAGTTTATTCGGGAACAAAATGGCCATGAAGATGCCACCGCTTTGGTCAATGTCCTGCCAACAGCATCAGCTAAAAAGGGGGCATCTGTGTACTGGGGGGCGGGTGCAGAGTATTTGCCCTGCAACCTGCAGCGGTTGCCTTCCCTCCCCGAGAGAGTGCGCGGCACTGGAGTCTGTCATTTCCTCCGCTTGCTGCTTCAAGCAAGACAAGCTGCTGATCGCAGACTCGGAGGGGAGATGCTCAGAAGTACTGCTAGCAACTCAGTGGCTCTCTCCAGGAGCGAAGGAAAGCACCTTTCGCTCCCAATTCTGCCCCTTAGAGGCCTTGGCTGCGTGACTTGACCCTTTGATGGTGTGCCAAGGCTGCGATTGCCTTGGCTCTGCAGCACAAAGTCCAGTGCAGGGAGGGTTTGCTGCTGAGCCCAGCAGCTGTTCCTGGGCTGCTTCAGCAGGGAGCTGCCACAGGGAAGGGGCCCTTTGGGGAAGCTTTGCTGGGCTACCATCTTCAGCCAAGGCATGGGAATTAGGGCATGCCATTTAAAAGAATCTACATCTAAAATGCAGGAAAGAGAAGAGGAAAATGCTGCTTGAGCTGTTGGGCACAAGGGAAGCTCAGAGTGTTGAAGAGCAAGGGGCATTTCCAGCAGCATGTTTCTATTTCTCTCTTGGCAAAAGAGGCCCAAATGTAGACAGAGCCTACTCTAGCGTCCTTGTTGTTCTCTTGCCTGCTGTGGGAAAGAGCTGTTGCTCCTGGAGGCCTGTTGGGAAAGGGAAATGCTCTGTGTTGGGTCTGCCTTGTGCTGCGGGAGTGGCCAGCACAGGCACTTAGGGCCCTCTTCTTAAGGTCTCATCATTTTGGCTTATGGCATGGGATGCTGCGCTTGAAAGAAATCAAGGCCTTCTTGGAAAGGCCACCTGATGAAAGGTGGAGAAGATGGCCCTCCCACTTGCTGGTCTCAGCAGCTGGAAGCCAGGGGACTGCAAAGGGCCCAGAGCTGCCGGCAGCGGGGCTGCCTTTGGGAGGGTGTGGGGAGCGGCGTCTCTGTGTGCGAGTGAGCGCCCTGCGCTGCTTTTGTCTTTCAGGGAGCATTGTGAGTCCGGGCCAGCCAATGAGCAAATACACGGCATTTGAAGAACTGGGACGAGGGTAAGCGTGGCGTTGGCTCCTTTTACAAAAGTGTGGGCCAGGTCTTTGGCTGGTGCAAGATCAAGCGTGAAGTCAGGCAAGCTCCAATCACGGTCAGGCTCTGGCTTTACCTCCTGTCGCCTGCCTGGACTGCTGGGGCAGAGCAATCCGAAGGCCTCATCAAAGACAAGTTGATGCTGGCATTGTCTTGCTTGCAGCAAGGAGGAGCAGGAGCTGGGAAGCTCTCTGCCCCTGCAGCTTTCTGGCCTGAAAGAGCACCTTGCCATTCAAGAAATGTCAGATTCTCAAGGACAGTCTTCTGACTCTAATTGTTCTCACTCTTTTGACACACACATGCATGCACGCCTGCACAAGGAGGACTGTTCCCCTTAGGTTTGGAAATGATCTGGCTGGGCGTGCACCTTGGAGATTTCCAGCGGCCCTCGGTCTTCATGCTGCACCTTAGTGTTCCCTTGGACAGGCTGCCCCGCAGGGCAGAGGGCTCACGGGCCGACGTGCTGTTGGCCGAAGAGACGCCGCAGCCAGGCATTTTCTAAGGAAGGCGTGCAGGCAGCCTGGGGAGATCTGCTGCCTAGGCTTGATTTCAGTGCCAAGGGATAAAGGGCTCTTTCTGCTGCTTTTGTCTTTCCAGGGGCTTTGGAGCTGTTTATAAAGCCCTTGACACCAGCAGCGGACAACAGGTAAAGTGCCAACAGCCCCATGCCATTTTGCAGCTCTGGAGTGCTTTCCCCGTTGCTGTGAGCCCTGCCTGGAGGTTTGGGTGGCAGCTCCATGTCTGCAGCAGAGGCTGTTCCTCTGAAGTACACTCTAGGCTCAGGGGGCAGAATGCATTTGGGATGGCCTTTGGTGCTTCTGCTAAGCTCTGCTGTCTAGTGACAAGGCCCTTTGGCCCAGCCCGCTGCCTCATTGCAGCAGCACTCGCTCCGTGCTGCTTGTCATCTCGAGCAGGGGGCGTCTTCTCAAGGTAAACGGTGGCCAATGTCATTTCAGGTGGCAATCAAGATCATGTCGCTTGAGGAGGAGATGTCCGAGGAGCTGGCTGCCAATGAAATCCTGGCCATGAGGGACAACAGGAGTCCCAATATCGTTACCTACTTAGACAGGTTGGCGTATTCTCCTGTCAATGTAGCTTTAGCTAGTGCAAGCCCGAAGAGACGATGCCCTTTGGTCACGGGCAGAGAAGGGAGCTGCTGGTGATTTCTCTGCTGGTCTCCAGAGCGTGGCAGGAGGTGGAGCTGGTGATCATGAATCTCGTGTGGCACACGTAGCTTGGAGAGCAGTTGCAAAAACCTGGCTCGGGCCCTCGGCTGACTGAGGCTGTGCCCATTGCTGTCTCTCCATGCTGTGGTTTTCTTCTTTCAGCTACCTGGTGGATGCGGAGCTCTGGCTGGCCATGGAGTTCATGGACGGCGGCACCTTGTTTGATGTGCTCAGCGCAGTGTACCCGGAGGAAGGACAGATAGGCGCTGTCTGTCGGGAGGTGAGGGATCCCGCTTGTGCTTCCCCAAGCCTGTCCAGGATGCTGCTTGCCAGCTGGAGGTTAAGGACAGCCGGGATTTCTTGCTCTCACCTTTCTTTTGCTGCTGCTGCTGCTGCTGCTGTCACCACACACAGGAGAAGAGCGAGCATGGGAAGTGAACTGCCTGCCGCTGTCCCCGCACTCCTCAGTCTCTGTTCTTGCACTCTTCCATCCTGTCTGTCCTCTGGCGCTGGTGCTGGCTCACTCGCTTGGGTTCACTTGCTTCCTCTTCTTAGCTTTGCCTGGGAATGTTAGCCTGGAGCCTGTCTGTCTGTCCTACATTCCTTGCCACGGGAAGGCAGCATGCAGGCGGCAGAATTTCCAGCTAAGGCCAAAGAGCCGTCCTCAGCTGCAAAGGATAGCATTGCAGCCCGCATGGCGACGGATTCTGGTACAGCTCTAAGGTGCTGCTTCCTCCTCTGCTGCCACTAGGCTTCCCCAAAAATCTTTGCCGTGCCGCCTCCCAGCCAAAGGTGACGCGCTTCCTACCCAAGGCCGGCGGAACTTTTGGGAGCCCGGATGCCTTCGCTTGGAATCGAGAAAAAAACTTCCAAGAGTGTTGAAGCAGCAAGCTCTTCTTCGTGACAGCACCATGATGCTGCGCCCTCGCTCACAATTCCCTGAGAAAGCCGTCAATCCTGTTGAGCTCTTTCCTTTCTGGTGGGATGAAATCCCATCCTGTACGTTAACTTTCCCTCCCTCCTTTTTTTCTCTCAGTGCCTGCAAGGACTGCATTTCCTTCATTCCCGCCAAGTCATCCACAGAGACATCAAAAGCAACAACGTCCTTGTGGGCATGGATGGATCTGTCAAGTTGGGTGGGTATCCCTGCTGGGCTGCAGCATTTGCAGCACCTGCCGTGCGCTTGCATTTCGGTGACTGCCACTTGGGCAGAAGCGCCGCTTGGCCAGTGCGTGAATGGTGAGGGTGTTGTGGAAGTGGCTGATGCCTTCTTTGCCTGGCTCCAGGCACGTGGAAGGAGAGCTCAGCTGCTTTTTCAGCTCGATTCAGCATGGCCTGGTCAGGCTTGGAGTGGGCAATGGTTTTGGCCGCTTTGCCAGTGGGAGCTGGCTTTGACAGGCTTTGTTTTTGGCCTCAGGTGACTTTGGCCTCTGTGCTCAGCTCAGCCCTGAGCGCAGCAAGCGCAGCTCCAGCGTCGGCACTCCCAGCTGGATGGCACCGGAGGTGGTGAGAGGAGAAGCCTACGGCCCCAAAGTGGACATCTGGTCCCTGGGCATCATGGGGCTGGAAATGGTGGAAGGGGAAGCTCCTTACGAGCGGGAAGCCCGTCTCAGGGTAAGGTGCAGCTTAGCAAGAGGGCTCTGTGTGGAGAGAGCTGATGTGGCTAGCAAAGGAGCAGGTGCAGTGTCCTCTTGCATCCATGTGCTGTAGGTTTTTGAATTGATAGAAAGGAACGGGCCCCCAAAACTGCAGAACCCCAGGCACCACTCGGCTCTCCTGCGCGACTTCCTCCGCTGCTGCCTGCAGGCAGACGAGGACAGGCGCTGGTCTGCCCAGGAGCTCCTGCAGGTGAGAAAAGCAAAGGGGCAAAAAGCCCTGTCAGCTGAGGACACCTGCATGAAGGCATGAGGAGGAGTGTGGGCCACGTGGCGCAGGCAGCTGCCAGCACAGGAAGGCGCAGGGGGACATGCTGCCCTCGGTGCTCTTTGTGTGTCTTCCTGGTAGCCAGGGAATCCTGCTTGAGCCCGTGAGGATGGGACCCTGGAAAGTAAGAGTTCCTTTCTTTGTTCTTTTTCCTCTGGGCAGCATCCCTTTGTTACCTCCGGCGATCCTGCCTCCAGCCTGGCTGCTCTGATCACCTCAGCCAAGCAAGTGCAGGAAGACTGGAGAGGAGACACCTGCGCCTCAGGAGGCCCTTATGCCCCGCCAGCCGAGAGGAGGGAAAAGGGGATGTGTCATCTTTGGGCAGAGCTCCAGCCATCCCCCGCGTATTAAGAGGAGCTGTGCCATAGATAGGAAATATGATTTTTTTTTTTTTCGTATTTGCTCAGTTTAGGTGTTTGGTTAGGTAAGGTAAGGTAAGGTAAGGTAAGGTAAGGTAAGGTAAGGTAAGGTTAGGTTTGGTTAGGTTAGGTTAGGTTAGGGTAGGTTAGGTTTGGTTAGGTGTGTGCTAGGTGCAATTTAAAGCTCTGTTGTTTTTTTCTTTCTCAAAGAGATGAAAGTTTAAAAGAATTAGGAGATATAGGGATCAACATTGAAGGGCTATGGAACATAGATAGCTTAGATAATAGAGGATTGTTTAGCTTCGAATAGAGTGTTGTTAATTTAGGCAAGCTCTGAGGTATCTTTGAAGTAGAAATGAAAGAATTGTCATAAGAAGAATTAAGCCGTGAGAGGAAAAGCTGGGCTGCAGCCGAACTGGAGCCTGCAGGCACTCCAAGCTGTCAGCCTGAACAGGCCACCTGCAGGACAGAAGGATGAAGATGGAGAAGTAGCGAGGGGATACTTTGTTTCAGCCCGAGTGAGAATAAAAGTCTAAAATATCCAGAGTGTTGTAAGACTCCCTTCCTTGCCAGGCTGTAGCTAAGTGGACGGTCCCCTTCAGAGGCCCAAAGAACATAGTGAGGTAAGCAGCTTTGCTTGCCTGAAGCGTGGAATGCCCGCGGGAAGCTGCCAGACTTGCGGGTAATGAAGGCCAGGTAATGAGCTCCCATTCAGGACAACACCAGGAGGCAGATGTGCACTCCTTTCTGGGCCTCTTGTCGTGAAGATGTCAGGGTGATCAGCAGGAATCACCATTTTGTTCCCAGCCTCCTCTCACTATGTCACCTATGGGATGGAATGGCATTCTCATAGCGACATCTGGCCCTTCCTCCCTGCTTCTTGTTTCCCCCCTGGTGAAGATTGCAATGCAAGTTGTTTTCCATTGCCATCTCAGTGACAGATTACCTTTGTCAAGTGGGCAGTTGGCCTTATCTCTCTCTTTTGAGTGACCACAGTCACACCTCCCCTGTGAGGGGACATCTGCTGATAACAGACCATTGAATTTCACTGCATGGCTGATAAGGACTAAAACATCCCATTGTGAGATGCTCTGCCTAGAGGGCGGAGCCAAGCATTGCTACCCAGACATAATCCAGAAGTTTTTGAGACACCACACGGCTTTGTCCACGGGTTTCCCTGGAGAAACAGCAGCTCCCTCTTCTTCCACTGGATCTTCAGATGAAGAATACATCCATCTCTACAGATCCCCCTCGCTCCAACAGCACCACACCTGATACTTTAGGAGGACAGCAGCCACATTTCCAATTGGACTGCCACCAGCACCCTGGCCCACAGGGTTTCAGGTCGGGTTCTGACTCTGTCAGTGTTGTTCTAGTGTACTGCATTGTTTATTTTATCCTTTTTTTTTTCTTTTCCCCAATATAGAACTGTTATTTCCTGCTCCCATATTTTTACCTGAGAGCCCCTTAATGTAAAATTTATAGCAATTTGGAGGGGTGGGGAGGGTTTACATTCTCCATTTCAGGGGAGGCTCCTGCCTTCCTTAGCAGACTCCCGTCTTTCCAAAACCAAGGCAGATTTTGGCGCCCAACGTAGGGCTCAAGGGCACAGAAACAAAAAGGGAATAACAGTTCTTGAGCAATCTAATTTTGTGTGTGGCTATAGAAACCTCATTAAGTAACACCATGTGGTCCAACTTGCCCTGGTTTGGGTGGCACATGATTGTGGCTGTATTTCTCCCATTTATAGGCCCTTATCTAAACGTGGATCCTATAACCAAGGCTACCATGTCTGTTATCTGCTTTGTTTTATGGGTGAATAAGGTGAGGAATTAATGGATTTTTAACTTCCTCTGGAAAGCAGGCAAATGGATTCACAGCTATCACACACTAACTGTATGTTTTTGGGGTTACTTTAATAATGGCATCTGCTCTAAGGAAATGACACCAGGCGAAATCTTCTCCCATTTTTTTAGGTCCATTTAGCCATTTTTTTGGGTCCAGCCCACCAGTTTTTCAAGGGCTCAGATCCACTCTAAATCTTAATGATATCATACAGTGTCTGGTGTTGCTGGTAGGCCTGGTCTATTTAGGATTTAGAGAGAAGGGGAGACTAACCTGGATAACTACCATGACACCTACCCCAGCACCTAATACGCCACCAGAGTCTAGGGATTCTGCTGCCCCAGAGCCTGACCCTGCCCCACAGCCCAGCCCAGATGTGAACTACCCAGATTGGATGGGGGGTCTGGTGAAGGAGATACGTGAGATGGGCCAGGTGCTGAAGGAATACACTTCCCCAGCTGGTGAGAAGCCCTCCCCTGCCTTCAAGAGGGAGAGTCTAATAGTGCAGCAGCAGAACCCACAGATGTTACAACTGTCCAGGTTCCAGCTGAACTGCAAAGGCAATCACAGCCAGCAGCAGTTGCCCCTGTAGAAACAAGGAGATCTAAGATGAAAGCAGAGCACCCAGATAGGGGAGGGCTCTCACAACCCACAGGGGAGCCAGAGGTTGCGATCATCACCGAGTCCCTGACGTACGAAAGTCTCCGTAATCTGCACAAAGACTTTGTACGACGGGGACGTGAGGCTTATACAACCTGGCTACTCCGGGTCTGGGATCTTATGGGTACAGGCGTCCAGCTGGATGGTGGTGAGGCAAGGAATTTGGGACCCTTGACCCAGGATTCAGGTATCAATCAGATTTTTGTAAGGGAGCCAGGGTCCCTTTCCCTCTGGGAGCAGCTTTTAATAAGTGTCAGAGAGAGGTTTGTTCACAGGCAAAGAATGCAGGAGCAGCACCACAGAATGCGCTGGAAGACTCTTGAGGAAGGGATTCAATAGCTGAGAGACGTGGTAGTATTGGAGGTACTCTTTGGGAAGGATGGACAGCATGATAATGACCCCGGGCAAGTCAGGTGCACAGGGCAAATGTTGTGGAGCCTGACAAATCTAGGGCCATCCCAATACACCACCTTTATTGCAACAATTAATGCCGATACCAACCGAGAGACTGTGGGTTCTGTGGCCAAGAAGCTTAGGAATTATGAAAGTATGATCAATGGCCCGATGCAGGCTCCTGTCTCTGCCATGGTCCAAGGACTCAGAGAGGAGATGAGGGAGATGATGAGGAGGAACAGTTCCCATATGGCACCAGTGTGAGTCACAGGCCCCAGAGTCAGAGCCCAGCGTTCCCCAGCTACAGAGAGAGGGTACAGCCCACAGGCTGACCTGTGGTTTTTTCTGCGTGACCATGGGGAAGACATAGGAAGGTGGGATGGAAAACCCACTTCTGTCCTGGCAGCACGGGGGCATCAACTCAAGGAGGGAAACACTAATCAAGGGAACTCCAGTAAAGTGAAGGTAGCCTCAGCCTCCCATGACCGAGCTGCTGAGTATGATCTGTCAGATCCCCTGGAAGGTACCTCTACCATGTATACCCAGGGTTAGAGGGGCCCTGCCTCTAGCCAGGGAGAGGCACGGGAAAACTGGATTTTCTGGACGGTGTGGATCCGATGGCCTGGCACATCAGAACCACAAAAGTACGATGCCTTAGTTGATGCTGGTGCGCAGTGTACCCTGATACCATCGGGACACGTGGGGGCGGAACCTATTTCCATTGCTGGGGTGACAGGGGGATCCCAGCAATTGACCCTGTTGGAAGCCGAGGTGAGCCTGACTGGGAAAGAGTGGAAAAAGCATCCTATTGTGACTGGCCCAGAGGCCCCGTGTATTCCGGGCATAGATTTCCTCTGGAGCAGCCATTACAAGGACCCAAAGGGACTCAGATGGGCTTTTGGCATAGCTGCTGTGGAGGCAGAAAACATCAAGCAGTTGAACACTTTGCCTGGACTATCAGAAAGCCCATCTGCAGCAGGTCTCCTGAAGGTGGAAGAGCAACGAGTGCCAATTGCCACCTCGACAGTGCACCGCCGGCAGTATCGGACGAATCGAGATGCCGTGATCCCCATCCACAAAATGATCTGTGAGCTGGAGAGCCAAGGGGTGGTCAGCAAGACTCACTCACCCTTCAACAGCCCCATCTGGCCTGTGCACAAGTCTGACAGAGAATGGAGATTGACTGTGGACTATCGTGGCTTGAATGAAGTGACTCCACCGCTGAGCGCTGCTGTGCCAGACATGTTGGAACTCCGGTACGAGCTGGAGTCCAAGGCAGCAAAGTGGTATGCCACTATAGACATTGCTAATGCATTTTTCTCCATTCCTTTGGCAGCAGAATGCAGGTCTCAGTTTGCTTTCACCTGGAGGGGCGTGCAGTACACCTGGAACTGACTGTCCCAGGGGTGAAAGCACAGCCCCACCATCTGCCATTGGCTGATCCAGACTTCACTGGAAAAGGGTGAGGCTCCAGAGCACTTGCAGTACATTGATGACATCATTGTGTGGGGGAACACGGCAATGGAAGTGTGGAGAGCTTTGTGGATAATTGGCTAGCTGAGAAAGGCCACTTTGATATGATACCGTTGGATAAGGTTCGGGGAAACAAGCTGGGGATTAAGTAGTCAGTGTCCAATCACTGACAAGGGTCATGGTGACCTTCCTGCAACATGAAGATGGGGGAGAAAATCTTTTGCCAGAAAAATGAAGATAGCCTAGGTAGAATAGCCACAGGAATGTAAACATAGAAACAAAATAATCATTAGAGCATAGAAGTAGGTGTGGTTGATTCATGTGTGTTTTAACCAATAATGAGCTCAGCTTTGCAATATGTATAAGCTTCATTAACACCAATATAAATATGTGTGAGCTATCAATAAACTTTGAGATTTGTTGATCACGCATATTGTGTGCTGCAATTCTTCTGCCGACCCAACATGGAAGTATTTGAGAAAGGAGAGAGGATCATCAGGATTTTGCTCGAAGCTGGCTTCACTATCAAGAAGAGTAAAGTCAAGGGACCTGCCCGGGAGATCCAGTTCCTGGGAGTGAAGTGGCAAGATGGACGGCGTCAGATTCCCACTGAGGTCATCA